GGAAAAAGGAAGACACACATTTACAGTTACAGGTATTACTATGATATAAACGAAGCTATTTCTGTGAAGAATGTACAATCTAATACAATCTGATGCAATTAACACAATTTGTGACGGGGCTACCAGATAGGGAAGACCCAGGATGTCAGGAGCTAGTACCTCAGGCCTTTGTTTTATGGCCTTTAGGAAGTTAAAACTTAACCTAGTTGGATTTAAAGGGAGAAGGGGAGGGGAAGCAGCAGATGGAACGAGCTTTCTTCGTCTCTTCACTCACACCTACCCCTTCTCCCAGGTCACCATCCTGCTGGCTCCTAGCTGCCCTAAGGCATGTCAGGCGTGCTCCACTGCAGCACTTTGACATGGAGACCTGAGTTCCCTCTGTGGGCTCTGTCTGCCCTTCTTCCTGAATGACCAGCTCCTTCGTTTCCATCAGGGGTCTACCAGTTGGATATTGGTCTGTTTCTGTTGCTAAAACTGAGGCTGGTTAATTTACACAGAATAGAGGTTTGTTCTGGCTAATGGTTCTGGAAGCTGGAAAGTCCAAGCACATACTGCTGGTTTCTGCTCAGCCTTGCACTGCTTCAAGTCATGGCAGAAAGCAAGAGGGCATATGGAGATGCGGAAAAAAGACAAAACACAGGGGGTGACCTTGTTTTTAACAACCCACTCTTCGGTAAGCAGTCCAGTCTTGCAAAAGTCAGAACTCACTCCCAAGTACCTGCACAATCTGTTCAGGAGTCTCCACCCACACGGCCTAAACACCCTACCATCCTCCACCTCCCAACCAAGCCATAGCCTGTGCTGTGGTGGCAACAGCATTTTCAACACAACGAGTTCAGCCTGAGCTGAGTCTGCAGGAAGAACTCTGCCTGGGTAGGAACTCGTCAAGAGTGTACTAGATGGACTATCAATAGCAGTGTGCCAGGGACAGGGAGACCATTGGGAGCCTGCAACACCCGTGGGAAAGAGGGGGAGTCAACCTCAAGGCTTAAAGTGACAGAGAAGAAAAGCCCCGGATGCTGTGAGAGGAGAGCACGGCCCATGCTGTGGGGACGGAGATTCCCATGGAAGAGGCTAGAAGAGGAAAGACCCTGCTGTGGGTTAGGTCTGAGTGACCCCCAGAGGCGCAGTTGCCAGCCTGTTAGGGAAGATGGTGGAAACTTTAAGGGATGGAACCCAGTGGAGAGAAGTTAGGTCACTGGGGGCATGACACTGAGGGGACTATTGGTGCCCCACCTCTGCCACCAGTCTCTCTCTCTCTCTCTTTCCTTCTGGGCTGACAACTCTCTCTGCCGCCTGTCCCCACCATGAGGTGCTGCCTTGCCCCACACCCAAAGCAGCAGGCCAAGCAAGCATGGGCTGAAACCTCCAAGACTGTGATCTAAAATAAATCTTTTCTCCTCTTAAGTTGATTATGTCAGGTGTTTTGTCACAGTGATAGGCAGATGACCAATCCACACCCCCATGGACCCTCTACCCCTCCCCTGCTCCCCTTTGGGGTTCCTAACCTGTGCTGGCTGGCCTCCTGGGAAGCCTGGTGATGTGACCTCCTAGGGCAGCCTCCAGTGCATAAGGAGGAGCAGGTAGAGATTCCATCATCAGGTCTTTACCCAAAAAGGCTCCATTTGTGATTTTTAAAATGTCCTTGAATTAGGTATTGGCAATGATGCACAACCCAGTGAATATCCTAAAAACCCTGAATTGGATTCTTTAATGTGATGAATTTCATAGTATGTAATTACATCTCTATTTAAAATTTTTTTCAGAAGTCACACTTTTGGTGAGTTAAGCTTTCCCTGGCCAGAAGATTTAAAATTTTACCCACTCAGCATCATTTTTTTCTCCCTAGTGGGTTACCATCAGATATGTCATGTATGATACTTTGAGTCCTGGTCTCTGCCTGGTCCTCTGTGAGGACATAGGGACAGTGGGCCATTTTATTCTCTGTTGTGTTCCTAGCACTTCCTGCATGATGCACAGCCCGGTAGTGATTCTGGCTGCAGCAGAGCAGGGGCTTCAGGTCACATCTTGCCTGCCCCACTCCAGGGCCTTTGAGCAGGTGCTCCAGGCTTCCTCCTCTCATACTTTGGAAACTGCAATGCAGCCCTGCAAAGGCAATTATTTCCCCTTTGTTCCTGAGATGCGTTTCATTTTCCAGGATCATAGGGGATATTACAAAGGGCTTCTCCAAAAAAATATCTATATACCCACATTCATTGCAGCATTAGGCATGATGGCCAAAACGCAGAACCACAGAAGGAACTCAGGCCTCCATGTCAAGGTCCTGCAGTGGAGCATGGCTGACGTGCCCTGTGGCAGCCAGGAGCCAGCAGGACGGTGACCTGGGGGAAGCAGGTAGGAGGAGGCATGGTTAGGGTAGAAGCCAGGTCTAGCTTGTGTAGGAACTTGTGAAAAACAAAAACTAAAATAAAAAGAGCACTGTGCTTTTCCTGTAAGTTAGATGATCGACCCCGAGGACTTCTGAGCAGAGGAGTGACAGGTCTTGCATTTTCAAAGGATCCCTTAGCTGTTGAATTGAAAAATAGGTTCAGCAATGCAGTGCTGACCTCAATTCGCAGTACAAGCCAAAAAAGGGAGTGGGTGAGAGAGAATAAGAAAGAGGAAATGGCAAGGTAGGTAGACCAGCTGTCAGATCGAAGCAGCAGGGAATAGGTAAGACTCTGCTAACAGGGTAATTCAAGCAAAGCTGCCTTTCAGAGGAACTCCTTGGAAAAGCAGCACTGCGGCGAAATGTGACAGTGACCCAGGGTGGAGGGCAACTGAGTCGTTACCATGTTGCAAGGCAAGAGGAGAAAGCAGTTACTGAGCCCAGAGGGAGGAAGGAAGACAGAAGCAGCCTCGGAGGAGAGCAATGGTGCTGGGTCCCCCGGGGGATACAGCCAGCAGGGGCCTTGTCCTCGTTCCTTTTCCAGGGCCCTGGGCCTCAAGGAGGTGGTCACACCAAGGAACCTCCAGGGGTGCCGGCGCTGGAGCCTTAACCCAGGGAAGGACCCAAGGTGGCTTGAACCACAGTGGTGCTGAACCAAGTTCCATCGAGGAGTGGGTAGACGAGGAAATAGGGTCTGTACATATAGTGGGGTGTCATGCAGCCCTAAGAAGGAAGAGAACCCTGACATATGCCGTAACGTGCATGAACTGGGAGGATTTTCTGCCTAGTGGCAGGGTTAGGGATGGAAAATGAGGAATTACTGTTTAACTGGAGTGGAGCTGGAGTCTTACAAAATGCAACGCGTTTTGGACACGCACAGTGCCAATGCTATGCGCCATTATGAATGAGCCACACACTTAAAGTGGTTCAGATGCCAAATTGTATATGCGTTTTTCCATGGTAAAAAAAAAATGGAAATGGTGAAATTTTGTTTAGAATTTTAAAAATCATTCCAAATTTCAAATTATAGGAGCTGTTAAATGCTACAAAAATCACAATGCCTAGAAACATTCCATTTCTCTTTACTTACAAGCTATCCAGCATACTATACCTCTGCGGTACCTCTGCTAACTCTGTAATCTACAATCCTGAAGCATATCATTTTTCTATGATACTAATCTGAATTGAAAATATTCACAGGAACTTTTTGAATGCTTTTAAAAACTGCTGCCACTCTGAGTTGAGCCACATAAATGTGTAACCAGATTACTGATACCACAACATTGACTTACTGATGAATGTGTGTAGGAGTTTTGTCACTTGAACACTGCTTCTTCAAGTATTTTCTGTGTTGGTGGCAACTCTGCGTACCATTTTGCTGGAACCACCAGATTGCTTCGAGATGGGGTGCAGCAATCACGCTGCATCTGATATTTAGGAGCCACAAAATGTGTGGTCGCGTGTGCAGAGACCTCAAAGTACAATTCTTTGTGTCCTCCTGTGACCACAAGCACAAGGAATCTGATCCAGCCAGTTCTGTATGATTCCCATCAGGAAAGAGGCCAACGTATGGCATGATTATAGTCGCATACTTGGAATGTCATCTATTTTCCTAACGGGAGAGGTAACCTCTGTCTTGGCCAGGCCTTTAGGAGAAACAGGTCCTCTGCTGATGATCATATTTTCCTTGGAAAGAATTCCCTGCCCACAATAGCGCCTATCTCAGTGCACTGGGAACCTTACTTTCTCTGCCCTACCCCCTGCTGCCAGTGGTGAGTGCTCTAGGTCAGCCACACTGGGACACATCCTCCCTGGTGCACCTGCCTGTCCTGATGTCCTGTGGGTGATATGTGTCACAAAATGCTCTCTCCACCCCAGGATGGCTAAATGTGACTTGGTTATAAGAGAGTAGCTGTGAGTAACCTGTATGCACCCTACTAAGCCCCAATGGAATGTTTCCCCAAACTCCTCTGAGCTGCATCCCCCAAACGTTCACAGCCACTGGAACATGTACGACTAAGAGAGAGTCAGACTGAGGATAAGTTGAGAACTGTGGCTCAATGATCTTACTTTGGGAAACTTTACAGAAATATTTTGCCTGGCAACCCATGGAGAGAGGGAGTCACTGCCCTGAAGTATCACTGGTGTTACTGGAAATGTGTCTCTCAGAGAATTCTACATGCAAGAATTGGGGCATGGGGTCTATAGGTTTTTGACTCATCTGTGGTCCAAGACCCCTACATGTGAAACCCTGAGTCACACTCCCAACGCTTCCCACCACCTCCCCAAGCCTTGAGAACCCTGCAAATCAAGGCTGATGCCACCTTCCTTCCAGAGCTGCTCTGAGTTAAAGACAGGGTGTTACATGGTCTCCATTATCAGAGCACCATACAAACTCAGCAGCTATTGTTCTCTGGCCAGGTCGCAGTAGCCCTTTCCCCTGGACTCCAGGGCTGTTATGGGTACACAGATCTGCCTCTTTAAAGCAGAATGGTGTGCTTGGCCAGCAGGGGAGAGCTGGAATCAGGGTAATCCCACTGAGGTCACCCGCACCTCCTGGCCACCCCTCCTTTGCTGTCAGACAGGGATTAGAAGAGAAGCCGATGGATTAGAGGGGCTCATTTTGTCTAGCTTCTCCCACTGGGCTGGCCAGCTCCACACCAGAGGCCTGCTGTTGGGGGCCACTCCTGGTTAACTCCAGCTGCAGGACCCTGCTAAGAGGCTGAGGATACCAGGATTCCTAGAACTCCACAGACAAAAGACCCTGGACAGCCTAGGGAAACAGGTAGCAGGAGGTAGAGCTCCCTCCTCAGCCCTGAGCTCAGCAGGTGCACCATGCTTGGGTTCCTCCGAAACATTGGCTCTACCGGCACTGGGGTCCCCCGCCACCAGTGGCCATGGGTCAGGGCCTGCCTGCAGAAGACTGTGGTCGTCCTGTGGCTGCTGCTCTCCAGCACCTCGCTGGCCCCCACACAGGGTCAGACCAAGATTCCTCTGGAAACGTAAGCATCAAGTCCAACCCCTTCCCTCCTCCCATGAAATTCTTCTATGCCTTCCTCCCCCAGGCAGGTCTCCATCCTCCGTTCTGTCCCTCTGGGCCCTTCCCTGCCAGTTATGGCTGTCCACTGCCTCGCTGTAAAGCCATTTTCTACCTTGGCTTCCCCCCCCCCGCCCCCGCCCCGGTCTCTTCTTGAACTGGAGCCCTGACTGCTTCCTCTTTGGAACCCGATGGCTTCAAGCTAAATGATCATCAGAGCTTACTCCCCTTGCTGGTAACAATCCACATGTGCAGCACTCGCAAGCGGATGCTCTCCCCAGGACATTCACTGCGATGAGATTACTTGGAGGGTGCTACTTCAGTTCTGAAGTTGAATGTCACAGCTCCCCCACAGGATTTGCTAGGAAATTCATATTTTCACATTCTGAAAGGGTAAAGCAGTTCTAAACCGAAGGGAATGACTCATGGAAAGGGAAGATAGCTTGTCCAGGGACTAGGTAAAATTGGATTTTGGTGGCCTCATTCTTCTCTACACATTTCTTCTTCTTTTCTATATATTTCTGCCTCCCCCAGGCCCTAATTTTATACCCCGCTATTGAGATCAGCTCCAGGAAGGAATGATGTCTATCATGTACACCTTGGTATAAACTACTATGCAACCTCTCTGGGATGTTTTTCGGTCTTAGGATCTGGTGGTCTTATTAAGGAAATTTCTAATCCATGTATGGAACTGCACACCCTACAGCAGGTGCTACCTGCTCAGTGTATAACCATGAGCAGTCCCTCAGGCCTAGCATGACATCAGGCTGCAGCACAGCCAGCTGCCAGCTCCACGTCTTAGCAGAGGTGGCTGGGGAGCCCAAACAACGCAGCATTTGGCGCTGGGGAGCAGTGGATTTTGATCTCTGCCTGGCAGGGTGCCCGGTGCGCTAGTCCACACAGAAGTTTAGTGAGGTGAGTGACATTATTACTGTTATGCAATTGCAAAAACAAAGGCTCCAGGAGGTCAGATGACTCCTCCAAGTCACAGGGCCAGTAAATGAAAGCAGCAGGACACTTTCAGCCACCTTGCTTGGCTGGGACCCTGCTGTTGGCTGTGAAAGCCATTGGAGATGCTGGGAAGGGTCTGCGCTCCAGAGCGCAGATCACCTGGTAGGAGGCAAACTCCAGAAATGACTGGCCAGGGGCAGATGGCTGGCCCCAGTCCTCACAGCAACCTCAGAGCAGGCTGAGGCAGAGGTGCCTTCTGTCCCTGGGATCCTGACTTCTCGCAGGCGCTGAAGCCAGGGCTCCTCCCTCCAGCCTTGACTTGCTCTCTCCTGCTGGATCCTTCGGTTCAGTCATCCCTGACCCCTCAGATCTTTCTTCGTCTCGTGTGCTGCCTCCCCCTCAGCCCCAGCCTACGCCACCTGCCCTCCCAAATCTGCTCTCTCCATCACCTAAGACCTCCCATCACTCAATCCAGTGGACACTTGTGTCTCATCCCCTGCACCTTGCGCTTTGCAGCTTCCCTCACCCACCCCTGAATCTTTCGTAACCCTGCACTCTCCCCAATTCCCATGCACTTCTGAGTCCTTTTTTCTCTCTATCCATCTGCAAAGCGCTGAAACTGCCTCAAGCGTTTGTCTGCACTGACAGATCTACTCATGCTCCACGCTCTCCTTGAGAGCGGCCCTCTAGCCCCAGAATTTCAGCCCATACCCATGTAAGCATGACTCGCAGCCTGCCTGAACCTGTCAGACTCGCATACCCAATGCTGGAGATGGCTCTTCCTGAACACCATGGGATGTTTTAAATTCAGGTTTGCATCTTTCAAAATACAAGGTGGCTTGGCATCTGCTAGAGTTGTGCAGGACACATCCTACCCAGTAGAACTTAGTAGTCCTGTAATAGGAAGCTCACATTCAGCATGGGCCAAGCGATGCTCACCACCTTGCGCTCTCCCCAGCCTGCTCTTTCTGATATACCCTTTTTAAAAAATCCTGTTTGGAAATACCTTGAGCTCACCATAAGCTCAATGGCTCCAACTGGAAACTGGAAGGCATTTTTGACTCCTTGAGCTCTTCTGTACTCCCTGCCTAGAATTCCCTTCCTATTTTCTTTGCTGAGTTAACTTCTACCACACTTCAACATGGAACTCAGCCCCCACCCACCTGAGGAAGCCTTTCCTCCCCACCACCACCCTCCGCAGGCTTCCCCAGCCCCCTCCAAGCACGCATCCTGCTGCACTGCGGTGACTCCAGGCTATGCACAATGCTGCGCACAGGAAGAGACCTCAGTCAACACTGATTGAGCAACTAAGGGAATGCTGGTCTAGAAATAGTCATGCAGGCACATTACAGTTGGTCTATTTGAGGAGTCTCAGTGTCCTGTGTACCTACCCCAGGACCCCAGAACATCTCCAGTACTGTGCCTGCCAACAATGTGACTCCCTAATCACAGTGCCCTTCTGGGAGCTGTCCAGGCTGCTCACTGGGCCACCACGCAAGGCTGAGGTGAGGCCTCTCCCTGCCCTCACAGCCAGTCCTGCTCTCCATTTCTGCAGAGGCCACTCAGAGCTCGGCCTCCTAGCCCTCCCCATGCTGGCCCTGGGGATCAGCATAACACTGGGGTCCCTGGTGATCTTGAGGAAGGAAACACAGTGTGATCAGCTCATGGAGCCTTGCAGCTACTCAGGAGAGTTCCTGTTCCCTCACTGGGGTCTTCTTTCTCTTCCTGTCTGCCCACTGTCCTTCCATTCCTTGTTCCACTCAAAGGCCAGAGTCCTTGAAAGCCTGGGGTCCGGACCTGGTTCCAGGCTCATTAACCCTCTGATCCTCAGCAGGAGACCTAGCCCTGAACTCACTAAAATACCATGTGGCTGCAGTGCCTGGCAGGCCCTCCAATGGCTGCCTGGTCAGGCTGCAGCCAGAACAAAAAGGACAGAAGCATTCTGTGTGCATTTCTGGGTATTTGTGAATACAGAAACCCATATATACATGTACAGGCATCCATACACATGTGTGAGTTTCTGAATACATTATATGTACATCTCTGCATGTTTATGTGTGTGCCGCAGTGGGTATCTGTGGACATGCTTTACATGTGCATCTATCTGTGGCCTCTGTGCATGTGTCCCCACCTCTCTGTCTGCACATGTTCACAAGTGTGCTTTCCTCCATGGCAGAGTGAAGCTATGGGCAGACACTTTTGGCAGAGACCTATACAACACCATCACCAAATACTCGGGCTCCCTCTTGCTGCAGAAGGTCAGTGTCCCTGCTCCTGACAGTCACCCTAGGTCTCCTTTCTGGTAGAAAATTAGAGTGAGGGCTTTGAGACCATCTTATCCAATCTACTCATTTTCAGTTAGGGAAACTGAGGCCCAGAGATGTAAATGATGTTTTTAGCTCAGAGTCTGTCAGTAGGGACTGTTGTTTCTGGTCCTCAGGAAGCCAAGATAGCATTAAACTTTCAAAACACTGGGAAATATGAAGAAAAGAAGGAAGAGGAGAGAGCAGAGAGATTGAGACAAAGGCCTGAGTCCCATAATGGGGAGAGGACATGCAAGAAAGGTCAGCAGAAACTCAAGGGGCAGTGAAAGACCTTGGAAAGAAGCAGATGGGAGACCAGCAGGTAGTTGTCTGTGTGGGGACAGTTGTGCTCCTTGCTGGTCCCAGATCCTCCAGGCACACTTAGCAAAGGCCTGAAGCCAGGCCCAGGCTCCCAACAAGAGGCAGAGCGGAGATGGTGCTCCGCAGCTCCTCCCTTTTTTATTGAGTACTTTGCGTGCAGATTTATGGCTGGCTGGTCCTTGTACAGGCTACCACACAGCTTCATTTTTCTCTGATAGTCAGAACTCACAGAGCGATTTAATAATAGCTGGCCCTTCTCTATTATTGCCACTTGCTAAGAGCTTTATATTCATGATTAATTCTCACCTCAACTCCATGAGGCATCTCCTCCATCTTATAAATGATGGCGAATCTCAGCTTTTCCAGCCACACGTGACCACACTGCAGCCCTCCCTCACTCCCCTTCCCACAGCCCCAGGCCCTCCTACTGAAGGAAATGGGTGAGAGGAGCTCTCCCTGCCCAGGACCACTACCACCAGGTGAGCTTGTGCTCACAGCACACCCCTAAACTGCAAACACCAGCTCCTCTAATTTTCTCCTTTACACCCTCCAACCCCAAGTGAGAAAGACAGGGAAGTGATTGTGTGGCTGTGTTGAATAGAGGCAATTTGTAGTCAATACATTCTAGAACATTCTCTAAAGCCTTTGGACACATCATATCATGTAGATAAGGAAATGAGTGCTTTGCCTAAGGTCACAGGGCCATTAGGCTGCAGAACTAGATCAACAGACATTCACGATGCACATACTCAGCAAGGATGAACTAGAACCAGCTCTCCAGCCTCTCCTGGGCTCCCAGGCAATGTACATGTGCCTGGAAAGCATCAAGCATTTTCTGATGCCCTGGAGATGGGGAACAAACACTTCAGAAAGGCTCACCATTGGCGTGGGCAGGTGCCAGAGCAGCAGTGGGACCCTGAAGAGAACGGGTGTGGAGGTCAGGGAGCCCTGGCCCCATTCAGGCTGTTTTGCTCCCTGGCTTTGGTCAAGTTTGTTGATTTTGAGCATTGATCTACTCTCCAATAAAGGCATCAACTGCAATGTGCCTAGAGCCCCGGAAACAAAGCAATCCAAATGAGGCAGCTCTTATTACTGTGGAGGTTACAGGAAGAGCAGTGAGACAGACTGTCCTTGCCCCAGAGCAGGAAACAAGGCTCTGCATGTGTGCCTGCACTTGCGGAGGGGGAACCGTGCCAATGTCCTCTACAAGACAGCGAGTGCTTTCTCTCTCGTTTCCCACTGAACAGAAATACAAAGATGTGGAACCCAGTCTGAAGATCAAGGAGGTGGATGGCCTAGAGCTGGTGAGGAAGTTCTCAGAGGACATGGAGAACATGCTGCGGAGGAAAGTGGAAGCCGTCAAGGTTTGCCAAGCCCTGCCCACACCCTCTCTTGCTCCTTGGAGGGTGTGGTGTCTGAAGGGTCCTTTCAAGAACAGCACTGGTTTTGGATGATCCAATTCCGGTTAGGAAGAGTGGGGGACTATGTCTACTGGTTTATACCACCCAAGCCCCTACCAGCATCCAGTGTGGACACTTCTTACCAGGGAAGGGGACACGTTCTCTTTCCAACACTCCCTGCTGGAGTGCTGGATGTCTAGCGCAGAGTCACCTGTATAAGCACCTTGCTGTCCATGAGGCCTCAGGGTCCTTGCAGATGATAAAGGATGGCTCTTCACAGCCAGAGGGGTTATGGGTAAAGAGAAATGGAGAAAGGAGAAAAAAGGAAGGGGAGAGCAAGGGAGCTTCTCTCTGAGTATGTAGCTAAGGAGGAGCTGCTGGGTCGCCTGATGACTGCTCAGCTTACCTTGGACCTGCGGTCCTCTTTACCCATTCTTCTCTCTCCTTTTGCGTTCCCTTCTCACAGAGCCTTGTGGAGGCTGCTGAGGAGGCTGACCTGAAACATGAATTCAACGCATCCCTGGTGGTGAGTGCTGACCTAGAACTGGTGCTGGGAGGTTTGATGAGAACACCCTCAGCACTACCAGGGCAACCACAGCCAGTGGGGTGCAGCGTGGCAATCACCTTATTCTGTGCACATGGGCATCTCCTGCCCCCGTGGGCAAAGCCGTGAGCTGGCCCAAGGAGTGAGACACACTCTTGACCTCAGGAAGTTCGCTATTTCCCCCAGAAGGTGGGTACCAAGGGCACACAAACGGGTAGGCTGGGTGTCATGAGAGTGAGGACTGGAGAAGAGGAGGCATGCAGAAATCTGTGCAGACAGGGCAGCCTGAGGCTTAGGCTGCTGGGATTTGGGCAGACAAGGCATGGTGGAGTCTCTAGGACTAGGGAAAGGAGAAGAAATGGAAATAAGAAAACAAAAAGCCAGTAGAAGAGACAGTGAGTGGTCAGCCCTGTGTGGACAGATGATGATGAAGCAGAAGTGGCCTTGGAGAGATGCTGGGAAATATGGTGGGAGCCTTGAGTGCCAAAACCAGGATCTGGTCTTTCTGTTTAAGGCATGGAAGGATCAGAGTAGGGCAGACACAGCTAGGCATGCATTTAGAATGCTAACGCTGGCCACTGGGCTGTGCTGAAGCTGGGAGTGGCAGTGACACACTATGGTGGGCCCAGTATCATTGGAGGAATGGGAAAAGAGTCTGCTTATGACTCCAAGTAGACAAGGTCTCAAGCAGATCCTCCAACGCCGCCCATAAGTGGGAGAAAGAGGACTCCTTTGGAGTGGGATACAGGAACTGCAGCCTCAGGCCCAGGCTGTAGGCCCAGAGACCCCCTGGCACTGTCTGAGTCCTCAGGACTCTTCTCATCCTGGGAGGAAGGGACAGTACTGGTGAGGCTCTGTGTCTTCTCACCTGTCTTTGAGTGTCTTCCCATCTCTATCTCCAGCTCTGTCCACACCAGAGCAAGTGGAGAACCAAGCAATAATCAGGACAATTTACATCAAAACCATCCTAATGAGCTCTTCTCTCGAGTTGTCCCCAAATGGCCCAACATTTGCTTGGATTCTCCACCCAGTAGAGCACATATGGATACTACCAGTCTGTCCATCCCGTCTTTCACATCAGAGTCCTCTCCTGTGCTCCATCTCTTTCTCTCTCTCAATCTGCACAGCCCTGTGTCTCTGTCTCTGTTGGGTTTGTTTCCTGTTATCTGTAGTTTGACTACTACAACTCGGTCCTGATCAATGAGAAAGATGAGAAAGGCAACTTTGTGGAGCTGGGTGCCGAGTTCATCCTGGAGTCCAATGCACACTTCAGCAACCTGAGAGTAAACACCTCAGTCAGCAGCGTGCAACTGCCCACCAATGTGTACAACAAAGGTCATTCCTCTCTGACTGTTTGGCAGTTGTTGGTGGGGTGGTGACAGTGGAGGTTTTTCATGACTTTGTCTCCCTTTTTCTGAGGAGCAGGACAGCCTTGACAGAGGATGAGAAAAGAAATTATTCCACATCATCATAATGTGTTAGTCTGTTTTCTATTTGCATGACAAAATACCTGAGGTTGAGTAACTTATACCAAAAAAAGATTTAGCTCACAATTTGGGAGTCTAAAATTCCAAACAGCACAACACTGGTTCTGAGGAGGGCTCCTGGGTTGCCTCACAACATGGTGGATGACATCATGGTAGGACCCCAAGGCAGTGTGGGAAGCCTGAGACTGTAGGTGTGCTCTTATACGACAACTCTTTCAGAACTAACCAGGATCTCATAAGAAATGCAAAAATTCTTTCCAAAGGTAGTGTCCCCCACTAGACTCTAGCATTTTCACATTGCCACACTGGGAACCAAGCTTCCCACACAGGAATCCTTGAGAGACACACTCAAACCACAGCAGATAGCCTCAGAGAAAACTCAGTGTTTCTGGATGACAGGATGTGTGAATTCTCACATGAGATACAGAAAGAAGCTCTAAAGTATGTGTGTGTGTACACGTGTGTGTTTAGCATGTGAACATTTGATCACTGTTTCTTCATATTGTTCCCCCTAAAATTCCTTTTCACTCCTCAGATCCAGACATTTTAAATGGAGTCTACATGTCGGAGGCCTTGAATCCTGTTTTTGTGGAGAACTTTCAGAGAGACCCTACACTGACCTGGCAATATTTTGGCAGCTCAACTGGATTCTTCAGGATCTATCCAGGTGAAGACATTGGGTGGCATCTCCATCATCTACTGGGCTTGTTCTCCGGAAATAAGGGAACAGGGGTATGAAAGGTTAACCCTAGAACTCATCCTCCAGGGGATGAGACTAGCACTCCTATCCAAAGGCACCTCCAACATACACTTCCACCGTCCCCACAGGTAAAGCACATATTCAGTGAAGAACTGAGTGAATGCATGAATAAAACCAACAAACACAATGGTAATCAGCCATCAAATACCCGCAGTGAGCTTCTGTCTTGGAAAAATGTACCATCGACACTAGAAATGATCGGCAGCCATGTAGGAAATGCCACACATTATTGTGTGACTAGTGGCAAATCCAGTGATAGGGTGGAGAAAGCTTTGTGTCAGTCAATAAAGACACAAGACAGAACATCAACCACAAATTTTGCAAGAATTCTACATCTTTTTTCTTCCCATGGAGAATACAATTCACTTTCATTTTTATACTTTAGCAGACTTTCCAGAAAGTCTTAAGTTTGCCCTACTTTTCTGACCAGAAAATGGAAAGGCCCTAAGGGATTTCTCTTTAGCCAGAGGCTGAAAAAAGGTAATTCCTCCCCTGGAGCACAAAGAACTCACACTGTTGCATCACTAGCAGGTTCCAAAATTCATAATTAGCCACTGGTTCTATTTCCGTTCTCTGCAGTCTGAAGGAATAAATTTATCCCTCTTTGTGTAGAAGCCCTTCAAATACTTGAAGACCACTCATGTCTCTCTTGTCTTCCCAGCGTAGAATTTCTGTAAATAACCTTACCACATATCCAGAGATGCCAAATCAGGTTCAGACAATCCAATCCAATTGGGAGCTCTTGAAGAGAGGGGCCATTTCTCATATTCCTTCCCAATTTATATATTCATATCTCCCCTCTGGTAAACAATATTAGATTGACTGTGATTTTTAGGTTATATTAATTTAATTTATCATAAAACCTAGAATATAGCCAATAATTTATGTCCCCCATACGCCCCTGTCTCTCCTACCCTTCGTCCTTCCCTCCCCACTGGTCAGATTAAAGCCATCCTGAACTTCAACTGTATGAGTACATTTGAATGTTTTCACTTGCTTGTAGAGTTTTAAATTATTTACAGACACATGTGTTTTTCAAAGTTTTTGATAAAATACATATTACAAAATGCACTAGCTTAATCAGCTTTAATGATGTATTCTAGATGTATAATACAACCATCCCCACCATGTATCTCTAAAATGCTTGTAAACTGAAACGCTACACGCCCCTAACAGTAATTCCCTATTCTTCCTTCCCCAACCCAGTCACTGGCAACTACTATTCTATTTTCTGTCTCTGTGATTTTGTCTACACTGTACCTCAGAGAAATGATATCATTCATAGTTTTGGTCTTTTTTGTGATTGACTTTCTAATACCCTGAAGATTCATACATTTTGCACATCTGAATTCCCTTCCTTTTTAAACCTGAGTAATATTGTATGTGTATGCTATATTTTGTTTATAGACACTGGGTTGCTTCCACCTTTTAGCTCTTGTGAGAAATACTAGGAACACAAGTGTGCAAATATGTTTTGAGACTGAATTTCAATTATTTAGGTTATATATATAAAAGTGGAGTAGCTGGACAATATGGTAGTTCTAATTTAAGTTTCAAAGACATGCCATACTGTTTCGTGTAAAGCTGTACCATTTTATATTTTACCACCAGTAGTGCACAAGCATTCCAGTTTCTCCATATTCATGTCAACATTTGCTATTTTGTGTGTGTGTTTTTATGTACAGTGGTCATCTGAATGCATGTGGGATGGTACCTCATTATGGCTTTGGTTTACATTTCCTTAATGATTAGTATTGTTGAGTATCTTTTCATGCGTGTCTTAGTTACTTTCATTGTTGAGACAAAATGCCCAACATCCACAAATTATGAGGATGAGGTTTAGCTCACAGTTTGCAGAGGTTCCAGTCCATAAATGACTGGCTCCAAGGCAGGGTTGCACATGGCAAAAGGGCAACAGTTCATGGCAGTAGAAGACAGCAAAAACAATGAGAGAGAGAGACAGAGAGACAGAGACAGAGACAGAGAGACAAAAGAGTCCCTTATAGTGTATGCAGGCTACTCACCCTAGGACCAGTGTGGTACTCAGTCATAAACTCTCAATTCAGCCCTTCTGAAAAGCCCACCCCCATGGCTGCATGAGGCTTTGGGGGACATCCAGGCACAAACTGTAACAGTGTGCTTATTGATCATTTGTATATCTTCTTTGAATAAATGTCTATTCAAGTTCTTGTTCCATTTTTAATAGGATTGTTTATATTACTGTTGAATTTAAGGCATGTATTTTGAATATTAATGTCTTGTGAAATATATGATTTGCACCCAGGTGTGATGGCACATATCTATAATCCCAGGAATGAGGAAGGCTGAGGCAGGAGGATGGAAAGTTAAAGTTCTGCCTGGGAAACTTAGAAGACTGTTTCAAAATAAGCACTTTAAAAAGCAACAGGGATGTAGCTCAGTAGTAGAGCACCTGTGGATTTCATTCCCAGCAACCCTTCCCCAGTATATATAATTTGCAAATATGTTCTCCTGTGGGCTTTTACCCTTAGACATTATCTTTCAGTGGACAAATTTAAAAAATTTTTTACCAAGTACAGTTTGTATATCTTTTGTTGTTGTTGTCTATGTTTTTGGTGTCATAGCCCTCCAAAAATCATTACCATGTCCCATGTCATGAAGGTTTTCTCTGTTTCTTACCAAGAATTTTAGATTTATAGGCCTTATGCTTAAGTATTTTATCCACTTTGAGTTAATTTTTGTGCATGGTGTTAGATAAAGATCCAACTTCACTTTTTAAAATCTTTTTTTAAAAATATGGATATTCAGTTTTCCCAGCAACATTTGTTGAAAAATACTGTCATTTCTTCATTGAATGTTCAAAATTCATATATGCAAGGGCTTCTTTCCAGGATCTCTATCTATTTCACTGCTCTATTTGTCTGTCCATATGCCAGGAACATACTGTTTGGTTACTGGAGCACTGTAGTTTAAAATCAGAAAGCGTGGCTCTTCTGGCTTTATTCTTCTTTTTAAAGATTGTTTGGGTTATTTGGGGTCTTTTGAAATTTCATATGCATATTTGGATGAGCTTTTATATTTCTGAAAGAAATATTAATGAGGTTTTGATGGAGGTTGCATCAGTAATTTTCTGATTGAATCAGTAGATCATTTTGTGTAGTACTTATACCACATAAAGTGTTCTAATCCATGAATGGGAGACACGTTTCCATTTTTTAATTTCTTTCAGCAATGTTTTATACTTTTTATTGTACAAAATTTTCACCTCCTTCATTAATTTTGTTCTTTTTGATGCTATTGTAAGAGAAATTGTTTTGTTAATTTTCTTTCATTGTTAAAGAATTAGCATTCAGCTGATTTTCTCTTTATCTTATTTCACCGAATTCATTTATTCAGTCTAACAGTTCTTTTGCATTGAATCTTTAGAGCTTTTTACATATAAAATCATATCTTTTGTGAACAGAATTAATTTCTTTTTTTTTTTTTTCATTGTGGACACTTTTTGTTTCTTTTTCTTTTTTGTGCCTTACTGCACGTGTGTTAACTTCAGGTAGTATGTTGAAGTGACTAAGGTGGGATCTCTTATTTTACGGCTGATCTTGGAGGAAAAGCTTTCAGTTTTTCACCTGAGTTGGATGTTTGTATTTTTCAGTTTCTGACTTTTATTAAGTTGAAGTAATTTCCATTGATTGCTGATCTGCTGAGTCTTGTTATCATGAAAGGGTGCTGGATTTTGACAAATGCTTTTGCTACATCATTTGAATTGGTCATATGAGTTTCTGTCCTTCATTCTGTTAATATGATGTTTTACACTGATCAATTTTTACATGTTGAAAAAAGTTTTTAAGGCCAGGGATATAGCTCAGTGGCATAAGTGCCTATCTGACAAGTGCAAGGTCCTGAGTCCAATTTCTAGTACAGGAAAAAAAAAAGAAAAGAAAAGAAAAGAAAAAAATTGCATCCCAGTATAAATTCCACTTGGAATAATTCTTTAAACATGCTACCAAAGTTGGTATATTAGTATTTTACTGAGGATTTTTGCATCGATGTTTATATGAAACATTGGACTATGGCTTTATTTTCTTGTAGAATCTTTGCCTGGCTTTGGTATTAAGGTAATGCTCACCTCACAGATTAAGATAGGAAATATTCCCTCCTCTTCAATTTAAAAAGCTGATAACTGGTATGAATGCTTTAAATGTTTGATAGCTTTCACCAGGAAAGGTCTAGGACGTTCCTTGGTGGGGAGATGTTTTTTATTCAATCTCTTTACTAGTTATAGGTCATTTCAGGGTTTCCATTTCTTTCTTATAACTTCGTTGGTCCTTCATTTCCTGCATTACTGATTTAATTTGTGCTTATTTGAATTTGTTAGTGAAAAAATTCACTAACTGTTTAAATTCCGTTCTGATTTTCTTTGGTATGTTATCTGTGGCCCCCTAACACCGCTTTGAAGGTCTGGTGGGAATGGTTAACTGCAGTAACACACTCTCCTTTGCAAGCTCCTTCTCCACCTCCTTTGGTGGCTGTTGTCACAAAATTAAGTCTTCATACGTCTTTGTGTGCCCCAAAACATAATCATTTTTAAAAATGAATTAGTATCTTAAATTATATGGAAAACAAAATACGTAGTTACCAAATTTACCATAATACTAGTTTTAGACTGTCTTCTTAATGTATTGATCGCTTACACCATGCAGAAGACAAAAACTGGAGTTCTAACCATGTTGTGACAGACCAGCTTTTTATAACTTGGCGTGCTTTCCCCTTCATTGGTGTCTTTCTTTCTTCACACAGCTTCAAGTTCCCGTTTAGTGTCCTGTTTCATCTGCAGGCTTCTGATGAGCACATCTTGCAGAGCAGAGACAGTAGTAACAACTCCTCCAGCAACTGTTTTCTCTGGGGACAGCTTAATTTCTCATTTAAGG